CCTTGCACACACATGTGTTAGACAAGAGAACAGCTCTGCTTTGTGAGCAGAGATAATAAATACTGTGCATTACATTTACCAGCATTATTTTAACTCACTCGAGTCAGAGTGTTGTATAGTACATATAATACTCAGCAGACAGATAGTTACTCATATCTACATTCATCACTGAGACACACATTTTAGAAAATTTTGCCAGTTGCCTATAAGGATTCAGCTGAAAATCTAGCACTTAACAAGCCACAGTATCGTATTTCGAGTATCCCATAAAATGTCATCAGGAAATGTTGGGCCGGTATTTTTATTTCGTGTACTGAGGCATTTTGTCAAGCACCAGCATTTACAACTCCTGCTTGCTTCAGATGGTGAAAATATGACAGGGAGCTGATGCAAGGAAGGGGAAATTATATCTATTCTCTGTTAGAAGATTAATTATAGAAGAAAGGCACCATGAAAGAGAGACAAATTTTTAAACACATACAAGGGGAGAGATTTATTGCTCATGGTGGGATATAAATCAACCAGTGACTGACTGTGATACACAAGCATAATGAGACAAGTCCAGTGCTGTATTCTCCATCTTTTACTAGATATCCTAAATGGATTATGGTTTTTTTTTTCTCTCCTGGGAAATTAGTTTATTCTCTTTGAATCTGAAGGTTTAAATGTTTCTGGAGCTGCCCTTATCGACATACAAACCTCCCATTGACTTTGGTATCAGCTCCATGTGTAAGCTTACAACAGCTGTGGACTTTCCTGGTGCAATTTAAGTCAAACATGCTCAATGTGGAGCTTTTTATCTTTATCTTTATAAACTCAGCTAAATATTCAGCTTCCTAACATTCTGTATTCTAATACAATCCAATCATCAATGTGTCTTGAATTTCTTAGGAAACAAATATTGAACTGGGTCTTTTTAACTATTGCACCTGAGAAAATTATGTTAAGCCTAAGAAGCAAAATGGTTAAGATGAGGTAGACTATTTAATCTGGCAAAGAGCTCATTTGAATGCAGGGTTTCAAAATGGGTTTCTTAAATTTTGTGGCTATGATTATTCGTGGATTTTATTGTAATTATGGTGTTTTTTTATAACTGAAATGAAGAATTAAAGCTTCAGATGGTAGCTGGTAATCTTCAGATAATAACTGAGGTGTTACCCCACATTCACTGACTTTGGGGTGAAGCCCCTTGCTGAGCCCCCAGTCTGGGCTTTGAATCAGAGGCCAGAAAATCCAACAGTGGACATTTTTTGCAACATACCAAGCCCTTTTCTTGCATGAGAGAAGGTGGCAACCAAAAAGTAATTCCACATTTTTTACAACTTGAGGCCTTATTTCCTCAGAATGGCCTGGACAGCTGGAATATGATCAGGGATGGATGGCAGTACAGCCAGTTGTGTCAGCTGTTATTGAAGCTGCCATTGCGTTCATGAAGCCAAATTAACCCAAGCCTATTTTAAAATCTGGGCAGGCATGTGAGTGCATGGTAAATGTTAATAGTGTTCTTATGCAGAACTGCAACCCAGAGCTATAAAGATTTGTACTGAAACCTCCAGAAATCTGCACATTCAGGTGTGGATTCAGATTATTGGCTCCATATTCATGGTGGAGAGGGGAGCCTGTGATTTGTGCTCCACTTGCTTTGGAAATTATACTGGAAACTCAGATTTAGGCTCATCTTTCCTTCAAGGAGGTAAAAACACCATGATTAATAACTCCTCAGAAAAAGAGATTTGCTGTTTTCCCTCCTGGGCACAGGGCCCAGATCTGCAGCTTTGGGCAAAATCCAGCTCTTCGGAGCTCAGATATATGGAAGGTAGGCAGGAGGCACCCTGACCTTTCCACCCTGTCTACCATTTGTGTTTTCCTGAAATGTAATGGGGAGGATGTCAGTGGGATTCTATGTAAATAACTTAAAACATTTAGAGAAGACATGGCTGAATCCAGCACACTCCAAAAGCGGTTTTTCCCTTCCTTCAATTCCATGGGATTCTTCCTACAATATATACCAAAAAAGGCTGAGCTGCATTGGGCCCTGGATGAATATTTAGATTTTTTAAGCTTTTCCCATTAGGATATTTTCTACACACAACCTTCCCAGGCCACTGGGGTGGGGTGGTTTTTGTAAAGCCACGTTGGCAGCTCCATCAGAGGGAGCTTCACCTGCAGCCAATGACAAACACAGCACAAATATCCCTGTGCAGCTTTTTAGAATAATCTTACGCCAGCAGCGGTTTGCTCCCATTACTCTCATGAATCCCTCTGCTGAGGATTAGTTTATTATCTATAGATGCAGCTGCTGATGGAAATCAATGGGAGATTTGTATTTGTGGAGCCTGCAGGACCACGGATCAATAGCGCTCTTCCAGTCAGAGGGAGGCGGTTCAGAGCAGCCTGGATGTTTCATGGGCTACTGGAGGGACATGGTCTGGGCTTCACCCTGCCCACAGCTGCCTCCCAAAACCTGGACAGCTGAGGAGAGCTACTGGGGACAGGCCAGTTCCTGCTGTTTCACAAATATCACTTTAGACGTCCCATACCAGGCTCCTCATTCGTTCAGCTGCGGAAGGTTCCGGTTGTGCGACTCGCCCGCCAGCGCCGAGGAGTTGATGGAGCTTCTCTTGAGGATCTTGTTGATGATGTCCTTCCACGTCTTCTTGTACTGGTGCCGCAGCAAAGAGTACACAAAAGGGTCTGAAACAGCTTTGCTGTAAGCTAAGCACTTGGAAATGATCCCCCAGTGGGAGTTGATGTGGACCACAGAGGACAATTCAACAAGTCTGGGGAAAGAGGAAGGGTGAAAGAGTGAACATTAAAAATTACATTAACCCACCCCAAACCCTTAAATTATTGCTGGGCAATTGCAACAAATCTAAAGAAAGCCCTGCTCATGAAAATGTGTATGTTGTCCTCCTGTTATAAATTTTAAGGACTGCAGATGTAAGCTTGAGGCCTGTTTGCCAAAATGCCATTGCTTGGTCTCATGGGAGTCAAATTTCTCTACCATGAGCAACCTAAAAACCCAGCATCCATCTGAACTCGTGGCTCAGTCCCCTCTAGAGCATCTGAGTCACCCCACCAGGGTTACCCAGCTCTCTTGGCCAGCCCAGCTCCCAGGGGCAGTTCGATGTCTTTAAACAGTTTGAGTGGTAGAGGCTCACAAGGGGAATCCATCACTCAGAGATGATGTATCATACCTTGAATTAAAAAACTGGCCAGTTCAAAGGGCAAGGATTCACATTTGCAACAAATTTGGCAAGACAAAACTTTTATCACTAGGGGAGGGGGACAGGGAAGAGCTTCATAGACTCCTCATACCTACACTAACCCAGATGGTTCACTATGTACTGAGAGAGCATTTTTGACAGGGAAATATTGATAACTCCCCATGTCTTTGAGCAACATCAAAGGGCAGCTCTGTTCAATATGCCTTCATAGCTGTCAGGAGCTATTGATTTTTATAGAGGTCAAACAGCCACGTGTGCTGCCACAGAGCCCCACACGGCAGATCAGATCTCTGCTGGACCTGCCTGCAGCAGCAGATGTTCTTAAATCTGCCTGGGAAATATTTCAGTTGCTCATGTTTCTCCACACAAAGCACCACTTCCAAGGAGCATTCTGAAGGGTGGTTCCTGCGGCAGCGATGACAAGAATTTTGGTACTTCAAGCAGTTTAAAGAGGAGGATTTTTTTTGTTATTTTATTCCCATTCCATAACCTTTCACTACAAGATATTATTTAAAACAATGCTGGCAGATGTCACAGTCCATTCAATGTGAGGGGCATTTCAGGTGACCAGGGAATGTCACATGAAAATACTTGGGAATTGTTTGTGCCACTCCACTGGTGCTGCTTGGCTCAGCAGCTCTGAGGTCCCAAAGATCCCTCATCTGTCCCATTTCTCTCTCATCTCAACCACACAAATGTTCTTTCAACCTCCCCTCGTAACTCATGCTCATTATCTTTCCTGCAAAGATCAGAACTGAGACATAATTTTCATCTGCTTGAGTTTCCAGGTGGTCTCATCTGGTGCATTCTCACTTCTTTAATAAAATACAACTCATGGCATCCAGTTAAGGTGTTCTAAAATGAGAATTGACAATCTGGAAATTAATCATCTACTGGGATATATTTGCTTTGTAATCTACCATGAGCCATCCTTGTTGTTTTCCACTTCCTTTATTTGATGCCTTCTTCACGTTTTGAATTTCATCACGTTGAATTTCACTTGGATGATTTATTTTTACTGAGTGCTTTACAGATGTGAATTTGATTATGTTTAATTAAATTCAGCGGATGCCTTGAATAACCAAAATATGACAAATTTGTGTCTGAGGCTCTGTCAGTCAGTTCTATGAGCCATTAACAATCTCAATTTAAAGCACATCAAACAGACACTTCAGGGTTGCAAGCCTAGACTTGCTAATTTTACCTTCATTGACTGATCAAATGAAAAGCCTACACTTTTATTAACAAAATCTTAAATATTTTCCTTGCTTTCTGTAAGCTTCCTTGACATTTACACATTTTTCAATTCTCATGTATTATTTTTTAGAGTAAATTACATTTGCTGTTATCAAGCAGCAAACACAGAAATGTAGCCAAACCCTGAGCTATGCATTTTCATTTCATGTACAAACAATTAAATGTCAGCCTTTCAAGGCATATCACAGAATTTATTGCCTTTGAAAGGTTTTGTTTCTCATTTTTGAGGGAAATTATATGCACAGCTTCCATTTTCATGAAACATTTCAGCCTGAAAGAAGACATTTTCAGTGAAGGAACATTAATATTTCAGCGCTACCTGTAAATTAAATTTTACAGTATCAACTACATAATTCCCTGGCTTGCTTTCATAAGCCTCTCTTCTACTGTCTGATCTTCAAACCCTTTTTATTTCAAAGCTGTAAGCTCTTTTTCTGTGATATTTTCTTCATATTTTAGAAACTTTTAACTCTGTAGAGTGTGTCATTTGACATGGCTATCCAATTATTTTATTTCCCCTTCAGTAAACAAACAAGAATTCCACGTAGAAGAGTGTGACCTTGGTCTTCTCACACAAAATGCACACTGGAAATCCTTTATTTACGTGTGCAGTTCATCACCACACTAAAATATTTTACTGCACCTGTGCCCACCCAGCTGGGATGCTGAAGAGCACAAATTGCAGAAGAATTCTGAGCTTCCTGTGTTCCCAATCAGGATCTGCATATGCAGAGGGCAAACAACAGTTTAAAACCAGGGTTTGTTTACCCCTCTATCCCCCAGAGATGATACAACAGAATTTTAATCATCTTCTGCCTGATCCACCATCCTCCTCTGTAACCTGAGGGCTTGGGACTGTGAACTTCTGCCTGCTATTACTTCAGGATTTTTAATTTAAGGCCAATTTCCTCACACATTGACAGCACTTATTGACTTACATGAGCAAAGTTCTGTATTTCAGTATGAAATGCCTGGAGTTGGAAATGAGTATTAGAAACTTGTATGACTTATCTTCATTTTTCTTATGAAAAATTTCATTGGAGAAAAGAGGTTTGGAACAAGTATTATTTAATTGCATAATGATTAATATAGCAAAGGAAGAGATGTGTACCAGTAGATTATTTTACAAAACAAGAAAACTTTAATGTGGGGGATTACACCTGTCATGCTGGTAAAGTGGAAACACTGGATCAAAGACAATCAGATTCTGATACACCACTTAAGGACATCCACTGAACTAATTAGAAGGGTGTTCCCTTGATAAATGAAGTGTCTGATCTGATTTTTACCTCAATGTGATCTAAAAAACTCTGCTTTACCCAGAGAAGCATTCATGTGTCTGGGGTGATGAGCACAGCTCCTTGACTCGTCCATGGAATATTTTTAGTGTGGGAACAGGAAGATGTTGTAGTAAAACCTTGTGATTTGCTGCTGTCAGCCCCCAGTCCAGGGAGTACTTAAAAGCATGTTTAATTGAAATATACTGCTGATTAGGAGAGGCTGAGCAAGGCACTCCCTCTCCTGACTGCTGTCCACTGCTTGAGCTGTGATTGATTGTGTCTCTCTCGAGAATGCAAAGCACTGGATGTGCTCCAGAAATACTCCTTGCTCACACAATTAAAATCAAATTCTCCCAATCCCCTGGGTGCCCAGACACCCAGCTCTGTGTGTGAGGCCCAGGGAAGGTCAGGATGAGTGTCCTGGAACGTTGAGCCCTGAAAATATCCAGCAAGGTCTCTCAGGGAGCTCAAGAGGGAATTCCCCTTAGCTTGTTGTGCAGGGATTTTAAATTTGTCAGAATTTAAAAGGCCAGGAATGTGGGAAAATTCACCCCTCCTGACATGTCTGCCCCAAAACATCCTCCTGCATCCAGGACCCTGCATCTTCCCTCTCCTCACCATCACCCTCTGGAGAATCTGTTCCTCAGCAGGAGCACATTAAAGTGATCCTTGTACAGAATAAAAGGAGGAGGCTCAGGATTTTTCTACTCCTTCCTCTGTATGTTAAAGCTACTGGGACAAAAACGGAGTGAAGAGGAGGTGGGGAGGTGGTGCCTGAGTGCTGAGACGTCTTTGGAAGAGCACAAAAATACTCCTGACAGCTCTGGTTAGAGCACTCAGTGTTACTCAGGATGAAACACCAACTATCCTGTGACTGGGAGGATTTTCTTTAAGTTCAGAGACCCAACAGGAAATGAAAATTAACCATTTGCAAAAATACAAATGCCTTAATATCTAATGACTTGAGAATTAAGGCTGGATGTCCCTAATTACAAGTCCTTTCATACTGTGTGTGTGGCTTGCAGTGGTGTCTTGTGGCCACTAAGTGGAAGTGAAGGTAATTCTAGGAAATTACTTTGGTTTTCTAATTCTGAAAATTCAGAGTATTACACTGGATAGGAAAAGCTCAAGGTTGGCCAAATGTTCAATTATATTGACTCTTAATCCAGACTTTTCAATGATTTTTTTCAAGGTAGATCTGAGTTTGACTGAGATCAGCCCCACTAATTTCTACTTGATAGTGTTGAATAGGAGATACCTTATTTTTTAGTTTTCTTTCTTTCTCTGTTGTTCATAGCAGCATCTCAGTTTCCCCAAAATCTTATAATAAGGAATGCAAGCTGTAAATTTCCTTCAGCAGCTAGATAACTTTTTCTTTTTTTTTTTCTGGATGTACTCACTTTCTAACACTTTTTATCTCATAGGAGTAATTTAGTGTTTCCCACAGGAGCCATTTCCAAAGATAAGCTGGTGGATAGACATCTACCATAAATCATGAGAAGATTTTTCAGTTTTGAGCCAGCACAGCTTTGATATTTGATATTTATGACTAATAAACCCTACCCAACCAGACAAAACTGTTGTTTAAGTCTGTGGACCATGTTCTCACCTCGGCTGAATCTTGTTGACCAAATTTTTACAGTCTGAGCTATTCTGGCAAGAGTTTCCCTGGAGATCAACCCCTGGACAGGGAAGTCAATCAGAGCAGAAGGTGACAACAAAAAAAAAAAGCCTGCAAAACCTCATGGGCTGACTTCCTAAATCCCTCCCATGCAAGCAGCACTTGGACTGGGCTGAGTGAGCAGAGTCTGACCTCAGACTGCATCAGGGCTGAGTGGAGGAGCCCTGTGACATTTTACATCATTTATTAGCTCAGGAAACACACAACCTCTGTTACAAATTTTCACAGGAGACCGGAATGCTGTTCTGGCTCAGAGTTCCCCACTTCCCTGAGCCAGGAGTGCATCTCAGCAGCCTTTTCCAGCATGTAGGTTCACACTTACCTTGTGATTACATAAGGTGCAAAGCAAAGTATGAAGGTACCAATAAAGGTGCTGATTTTCTTCGTTGCCCGCTGCCTCCGCCTCCTCTGCTCCTCCAGACACCGCTCCCGCACGCTGTGTGACACCCAACACAGAGAACAACATCAATCATAGCATCAGGTAACAATCTGCAATGGCTTCACCACAGAATGATGGAGAAGGAGCTGTTTGAATTGTGCAAACCAGTAACAGGTGAGCTGCACTTAAATGGGACAATACCAGCTCTGAATGAATTGTCTGCTCATCTCGCCCTCCACAAAGTTACTGACGGGCACCTGGTTGTGTATTTATGGGCACAAACCCCCATTATATCAATTGATCTGTAGAAAAATGGGTGGAATTCACCCTTGAAATCAGTTTGCAGCTCCTTTTTGAACCGCTGTAAGCTGTGTTTGCAGGCAAGATGACACTCGGAGATTTGGAAAATATCCAGAGTGGGATAGGCAGCACGCTGCTTCCCTAGAAACAGCAATTCCAACACCACTGCCTTGGAGAGGAGAAACTTCCCAGCAAGATAACCAACAAAACAACATCATAACGGGAGAAGGAACACTCTGAACCTTCAGCCCAACGCAGGAGCTGTCACTGTGTCCCACAGCTGTGAGCTGTGTGGCCATAAACATCCCATCACATCTGCAGGGCTGCTGTGCTGAATGCTCCACAAAGCTGGAATTGTTTCATAAATCCTCAGTCCTGGGGTATCCTCATTCCTCACCTCAAACCAACCCTCTTTCTAACTAAACACGTGCAAATTAGCCACACCTTGGGGTTTTTTCCTACCTATGGTATTTTTAGGACAAGAGCTTTTCCTTTGAGTTTTCTGCTGGTGGTCTCAGCAGGCCCCCGGAGAGCTCTGAATCCCCTCGGTGTGCCAGCAAGGAGCACAGGGCTGAGACCTTGCTTTCAGTGCAAAAAAATCCCTGAAATCAGCACATTTGTTGTGAAAACAGTGATTAATGTGAAAGCTCATCCTCTTCCTCTGTCTGGTTGAGTGACTCCTGTGCTTTTTATGATTTCTGAGGGAAGTGGATGAGTTCCTGTCTGCTCCAGGCGGTGGATTGGGCAGCACTGGTATTTCCCACGATGCCAGGACTGCCTGTACCTCGGTAAATCCCTTTGGAAAAGGGCACAGCAAAGGCAGACTGCCATCCTGAACCCCTCTCTGTGCACATGGCAAAGCTGACTCCTTGCACAGACCTCCCAGTGACAGTCACTTCTCAGGCAAACTGAATGGAGCTGGCCCAAGTCCTGTACTTACATATATTTTTTTTAAAAAAAATATTATTTTTTTTATTATTTTTTAAATACTCGACTGTTTGGCATCGGCCTTTCCATTTTTGTTGTAAATTTTTAATTGATGACTCACTCTCAGGCTCCACACTCTCACAGCTCTGAGGCTCATGGCCATACCCTTACATTATTTACTTCATCTGTAAATGTTTTATCAACATCCAAACACATGTTGTGTGCTGAGGATCTCAGTGTGTTTCTGTGCTCTCTGTGGCAATGAGTTCCTTGGGCTGTGTTAAAGAAAAAGAGTTTCTTGTGTTCCGTTCTAAATTCAGTTTTGCATCACCAAGCCCCAGAGCAGCTATCGGGATGTGATAAAATAAATACCAGAGGAAAAGTTTGTTCTTCTAACAAATTGTCTTTCTCTTAAAGAATATGACACATTTAAAGGTGTTACATGTTCTAGATGTGAGTTATTTGCAGCTCGAAATGACAGTAAAGAAGGGGGGAAAAAAAAATTCCACCTTTTCAAGGCAACCTATGTGTTTTCAATTCTGCAGGAGCTGGGGAACTTGGAGTGTTTTTATGTGCAGAAAAATGATCTGAGAGCTTCATGAGCTTTGTTTAAGACCTGTGGTCTTAAATTCATGATATCCCAAGCCCATGGCAATACAGGAAAGTGAATGTCCAAAGCAGGTTCAATTAAGGTGCTGTTAGGGAGGAGTTGGTGGTGTAATTTTGGTCTCTGTTTCCCCAGTTACATCTTTTCCTTTCTGGCACATGCAAAGCTGTCTCTCACTCCTTGAGCTCACCCATGACTGTCCTGGTAGACTTTAACCCATTTCTTTTGTTCAGACTTTCCAGATATATCCAATAAATACCACATCAGAGAAGAAGGTATTTTATCTCACTCCTTCACACAGACAATGTACATAGATTAATATTTTGGTTTTGCACACACTTTCATGCACAAAGATAAGACACATGTGAGTTCTAGCAGTGACATCAGTAATAGAACAGGATTATTGACTAAGCTTTCATTTAAAGATTTTAATATCCTGGGAAATCTGAGCTATATCCCTTTGAAGATTTGGTATTTTAAACAAAGTTTATGGGATATTGGACCTTAAGATGTGTAGAGCTGGATACACCAAAAAGACAGTATAGATAATTTGAATTAGGAAATACATGGATTAAGCCCTTAAGTGAAGTTTTGCCCAAATCTCCCACAATACCCAAGATATTTTGGTCTCAAGAGCAAGGAAAAAGCAGGATCCACTAAAAAAGCCTCAGCTAACTTGAAATGCCGCGTGCCCTAAACATTCACAGGAATTTGTAGGGTATTTGGAGGTTTCCTTTGTGCTTGACTGATCTTCAGGAGAGATCACTGGTGTCTTTCTAAGTCACAGGTAATAAAGCCATCTGTCACAGTGCCTGTCACTGGACCCCCCTGCGGGGGGATTCTGAGCCACAGGAACTGAAAATTGTCCGTTCGCATTTCCCAGCGCTCACACTGGACCCTGCAAAGAGCCAGAGGAGTCTCAAGCGGGGTTGCAAACTTTGTTCTCTCCTTTGGACTGTGCCAGCACCCACAGCTGTGCTGCCAGGCGCTCCAGGAACCCCAGAAATGGCCTGTTACATAATGCAAACCGTGCCTTCCTTATGTCAGACATTTCTGAGCATCGCTGACTCTTCCAGCAGAGCTGCAGCCCCCGTGCCGCTCTCCCAGCAGGGAAGGTGGCCTGAGACCCTTTCAGCAGCAGGAGCTGTCACTTAAGGCTAAATCAGCCCCTCCAGGGGTCAAATCAGTTCTGTAGGGTAGAAAAGAAATGAAAACTCTCCTTTCTTAGAGAGAGGCACCAGGATAACCCGATGCCAGAGGCAGAGGCAGCGGTGCAGGTTGCTCACAGCAAAGCGCCTGCACAACTCTGCCCCGAAGAAAGGAAGCATCATTCCCACAGCCCCACTGAATCCATCCCGCAGGGAGAGGATCACAAAGTGCACAAACACCCTCAAATCAACCTCAGCCAGAAAAAATGCAGAGGAGGAGAAACAGCACTGAGATTTTTGCCCTTTTACTAAACTTTGCTGTGCAGTCCAGGCATACTTTTTGCATTAGGCAAAACAAATGGGGTTTCAAACAGCGCTGGTGGGTTTATGGCACTTCCCTGGGAGTAACCACCACATCTCCTCATGCTGCAGGAACTGAGGCACTCGAGGCACAGTTCATCAACCAGACAGCACGTAGGGCAGAGAGTGTTTGTTCCTCAGTGTGACTTGGTGAATAAGGGATGATTTATACCTGTATTTCTCAAGAACGGCAACAAGACTTGCCCAAAGTTCTGCTCTGCATTCTTGGTTGAGAGACAGCACAAACAGCTTAGCAGGAGAATTCTGAGCAAATGTTTCTGTTCTTCTAAAATGTGCTGCCCAGACTTGTTTGTCTTAGCCTCAGGCATCCCCAAAGTATGACCCGTGTTTGAGGACAGCCACATGTGCTCTGAGCCCTGCAGCTCTGCTCCTGGCTGCCCGCAAAGGGAGCGGCTGCTGGAGCAAAGGGGAGCAGGGATGGTCAGATGGGATGTGTGGGACTGCTCTCTGCTCTCCTCTCGTCCCTGTATCACACACCAAGCCTGCATCCCTTCTAGATCCGTACATCGATTATTCATGCAAGATTTAGGGCTTGTGCATAATCCCTGGCGTGACTTTTGCATACATTCCTCTCCCTGTTTGCTTCTTGCCTTCCAGCCCACAATCCTGCCAGTCCCTGGGGACTTTTCTCCTCTTGTCTCGAGGCACAAGGGACTTGCATAAAAATCTCTCGTTTGCAATGAGCTTTATACATCCCTTGCTTGTCACATTAACATTGCCACTGAATTTTCTCTCACTTTAAGGTTTAAGTACAGGCATTCGAGCGCATGAATTTTGCAGATGTAATTCCCTTAAGGATTCTGCCTTCAGGAATGATAAAGTTACAGAGAGCACAGCAATGGGGAAGCTGCTGGGAAAAGGAGCGGCAGGCGGTGCTCAGCCTCCCTTCCAAACTCCCAGGGACATGTGCAGCTTTCTTCTCCTCTCAGGGATCCAGCAACGGGTTTTGGGCTGACAGTGCCCAAAATACACAAAGCTATCGACCACTGAATCCACCCTCAGAGACAAAGGGCAGTGATCTGATCACTGTCTCAAAGGGAAGTGCATGCTTAGCCAGAACTGCCCAGTTCATTTGCTCTCCCTCCCAAAACAAGTCCTTAAACCTACCAAAAAAAATGAGTTCTGCGATCAGAGAACTAAACACAAGTGAAAAGAAACACGCAGAATAGAAACTGGCTGAGGGATGTTTATTTTCTCCCCCTCCCCATCCCCTGCTGTCAGACAGGTTGGTCTCTGTTTACCACAGCACTGAGCCCCCTCCTCACCTGAGCTGAACTCACGGGGAGCTTACCTGGGGTGGATGTCCACCAGCAGCACCAGGGTCTGCATAGTGATCACGTCGATGCGCTTACAGTGGAACCGTGCCACCTTCAGCACTTTGAGATACGTGAAACACAGGACCACGAGGGAGAGGAGGAAGCTGAGGGCGTGAAAGACCCCAGTGAAAATCACAAACTGTGTCCTATCCTCTGGTCTCTTGCTGTAGAGAGTGCAGGAGGCGTAGAGGTGATGGAAACCCAGCCAGGAGAGAGAAGCTGCCACTATGGGGAAGGACGCCGAGTGCAACCACGTGTAGCTCAGGATGAGAGCAGCGTCTCGGTACCTCATTTTGGAGTGATAACTTAGCGGGAAGACCACAGCAATCCACCTGTCAATGCTCAGAGCCGCCATGCTCAGCATGGAGTTGGTGGTGAGGAAAGTCTCCAGGAAGCCCACAACTTGGCAGACCTGATCTCCTCCGGGCTGACTTTTGTAAATGATCCCAGCCAAGGTCAGGGGCATGCTTGAGACGGCCATCAACAGGTTGCAGAAGGTGAGGTTGAGGATGAACAATCCCGGGACCTGCTTGCGGATGTCGGCGCTGTACAGGAAGCACATCAGCACCAGCACGTTGGCCAGCAGGGCCACAAGCATCAGCACCACCACCACGAAAGCCAGGAGCAGCTCCCAGATGCTCATGGTGCGTCCAGTCACAGGAGGGACATCTCCGAAACTGCGCCGCGCCGGCACCGGGGGACCATGGTGCGAGGTGCCCCCACCTCGCCCTCCTCCCCAGCCTGCTCGCTCCCGTGCATGCCCTCCGTATTTTTAGAGGAGCTGCAGTTTTCTTCTCCAACCTCCCCCTCCTCGCTGCTCCTTTCCACGTCAACGCTTCCCGAGACGTGCACAAAAGCACTGGGAATGCCCATCAAACTGCAAGGAGGGCTTAAAAAATATCAGCAGGACTGAACCACTGTCTCCCGTCGGTCCATTTTGAGGAGAGCACGCTATTCTGAGAAGCTGCTCTCCTGAGATCCCTAATTAGCAGCCCCAAGCTTGCAAGCAATCCACCGAGTGAATTGTGCTCTCTTTCTCCCTTGCTTTCTGCCTCTCTCTCCCTCTCTGTCTTTCTCTCCCCTCCCCTCTCCTCCAACCCTCGCTCCCTTCCAGGCTGAATGTAACCTGCTTTTTATGATCACAGATAAAAACCCCATTAATGGATTAAAGCAGGCACACTGCTGGTGATTCGCAAACGTGATTATGTCATCCCTGCTCCACAACCCCTCCCCTTCTCCTTGCGACCGTGACTAGACTTTCCTCAAGAGAAATCCCATGCTTTCATTTAATTGATTTAGCCATTAATTTGCAGACAAGCCCTGGAACAGAATTCCTGCGCTCCAGCGTGTTCCCTACATTTCGGTGCATCACTTGCAGGGATGCTGCTTGCACTCAGCCAGGGCAGGAGCTTTCTCTGCTCTTCATTAGCTGTGCCTAAAGAGATGGGGAAAATGGAAATATTCTGCTACTTCTCTGGAGCCCTCATTAGGCTACGGGAATGGTTTTACTGCTCGGGTTCAGCACTTAGCAGTTCGCTGTCTCCAAATACCAGGAGGAGGAGGAGGAAACAGATTGCTTCCCCTCCTCTAAAAGCAGGAAAATCAAAGCCCAGATGCCAGAGCCACAAGGTGACAGAGCAGGTGAGGGGCAGAGGCAGCATCGTGCTGCAGGTACCTTTATTCACTCAGCCTTTCTCCTCTCCAAGAGTTTCTCCTTCCTCCCAATCAAAGCCTCCCTCCCTCTGGGGGTGAGCACCCTGTGAGATCAAAATTAAAAAGCATCTTGGCAAAGGAAACAGGAATGAGTCTGACTTGCACATAATTAGGTGTCAAAATTAAGTTTGTTTTAAAGGACGGAGCGGGAGCTGTTTTCTCATTGCTTTTCCTGTCTCTTTCAATCAGTTTTAACCCGGGAGGCTGAGAGTTTGTGAGCAATCAGGACAGCTTTCTGATCAAGGCAGCCAAGCTTTAATCCCTGCACAATAAGAAGGCAAAAGATACCCTGCAGCACAGTTACTGGGGCTTAGTAAGTGCTTCTGCACGTGTAGGAGAGCTCGATGCCCGGGCAGTTTTCCCTGCAGAGCTGTGCATCTCCACGAACAGCAGCTGCTCACTGCAGCTCAGGAGCAGAGCTGGCACCCTGCACGCTGCCAGAGCCTGGCATCTTGGAGAAAAAGCCTCTTTCACTTCAGTTTTGGTTTGTTTTGTTTTCAAAAGCCAGGCTTTAAAGGGCTTACAGAGTGGTGAGAGGAGCAGCTCGGGGTGCAGAGCCCAGGTCTGTCCCTCAGCCCTGAGAGCTCTCGGTTCCCAGAACACAACTCCTCACACTGGGAGCCTGAGGAGAGAAATCCAGTCTGTCTCTTTGCCAAAGTCAGTGAAGTGGTGGAGTGACCATCCCTGGAAGTGTCCAAACATGGTGTGGATGTGGCATTTGAGGAGGTGGCTCAGTGCTGAACGTGGTGGTGGTGTTGGGTTGATGGCTGGATCTCAGAGGGGTTTTCCAACCTCAGTGATCCCGTGGGAGAAGCCTAAAGGTGACCCCTTCTTTAAATGCAAGGGGTTGTTACCCTCTTGGAAGAGGTGGACTAAGTACATGAGGGAGAAAATGAAGGTTTTGCTGCTGCTTCACAGCACCAGAACCTCAGCAAGATTTTTCCTTGGGCTGGAGGCAACAGCCCTGCTGAGGGGGCATCAGCAGCTTGAGCAGGGTGTCCAAGGGACACTCAGGGACAGCTTAACCCCTAAAGCTCAGCAGGCAAAGGCAGCTGCAGGACCACAGGGAGGTGCTGGGAGCCACTCTGAAGAAAAATGTGGGAAATAATAATGCTAGGAGGAACAGGGGGGAAAAACTGGGAAATCCTGGTGATACATGTATGAGAGGCAGGAACTCTGACGGTGGTAAAGGGGAATCTCACTCCCACTTGGCATCAAGGGGATTCCTGACTCTTCCCACACTCTCAGCCTCCTCCTGGGCTCAAATGAACCCTGTAAGACCCCCAGCTGCCCAGGGACTGGGGAATTCAGGTTTTTCCCCTGCCTTCAATGCACGAGGCCATGGATTTATCAGGGTGGTTTCCTGACACAGCATGCTGTTATCCCTCCAGTGAGCTGTGGTGCCTCCAGGATTGAAAAGCTCTGCTCCTGAGTAATTCCCTGCTGTGACAGGGGTCTGGCATCAGTGTCAAGCCTGGGTGAACAGTGGGGGAGGAAATTCATGCCCGGAGAGAAAGGATTAGGGATGACAGTTGGGAAAAGAGGATTCTCCCTAAGTGATAGATGCGAAATAATGGGAGGCAGAAGGAGAGAGTTCAGTGAAGCTGTGATGGAATATGGGAGGTCAGATCTGGGGGAAAATCTACAGTCAAGGGGAAAACCTTGGTAGGCATCAGGAGGAAGCAGAAGTTTCTCTCAGTGAGTAATCTGAGTCTCGGTGTGTATTTTGTATTCTGAAGGCCCAAGTGATTTACATAACTAATTCCCCTGTTGCTAATCCCTGCAGCAGAGGGGGTTGGCTGAACACTTCTGGGTTTATTTACCATGTGTACCTAAGGGAGCACGATGGACCCATGAAATGGCTTCATTTTCTACAAACCAGGAGGGAAGAATCTGCTGGGCATCTGTCGAGGGTTAACCCCAGCTGGTGACTGAGCACTGCTCAGTCTCTCCCCATTCCTCAGGATGGAACCCTGGGATGGAACCCTGGGATGGAACCCTGGGATGGAATTCTGGGATGGAATCACAGAGACAGACTGAGACCATGGAGCCCAAGGAAGACAAGGAAGCTCTTTAGGCACTCTTTAGGGGGTTAACTTTGGCCTCTCTTCTTCCAGTGCTACACAAACCCTTGGCAGCGTTGCTTGATGGAGACAGAAGCCACAGGTCTGTCTCTCTTTGGGGTGTCAGAGATGACCTTTACACCTCCCCTGTCACCTTCACTGACCAAAAATTAATTCACTTCAGGCCCTGCTCCCCCTAGCCCCAGATAACCAGCATCAGCCAGTGGGTTCCTGCCTGGCCCCTTCCTCTCCAGCAGGTTCCGTGTGTGGCACACTGGGGCTAACTGGGAGCTCCTGGCCAGCCAGGTGGTTCCTCATGGGCCACCACTCTGGGGATGTGGGGAGAGAAACCCTCCACTGCTCCACCTCGAGCTGAGAGTGCCAGGACAGCTCCCCAGAGCCCTCCTGGTGAATTATTCACGCCCGGGCTGTCACTGCTGCTTTGCTTCATGGAATTAAAGAAACATCAGGTCCACAGGCACATGGCTGGTGCTCCTGGCACTTCTGCCTGCTGGGTGGGTTTTTAAGGACTCTTAGGGCAGCTGAGGAAATCAAATCAAGCTGGGAAGAGCAGAAAGCCATGGGAAGCTTTGAGTCAGGGAGGTTTGTGGGCGGATGTGTGTGTAGGTGGATGGCAGAGCTCTCTCCTTCCCCGAGCTCCTTTGGAGCCAGGTGAGAACTTCCTTCCTGGGGACCAATTAGGGGATGAGCAAGCTCAGTGACTTGGTCCCTGTGTGTTATTCTGGCAAATGCAGGATGTTAAATGACATATTCCAGCACGGGCTCTGGTTCACAATTCATATTTTAGAATCACTCCCTATCAGCACCATCAGTGATGCAGATATTGAGTCACACTTCATCTTCATATGGAGCTCTGTTAGAACAGCGTTCTTTTAAAGGAGGGAGTGCGTGGATGTACCTGCTTTATTTGGTTTACCTCAAAGACAAAAAGGAGGCCTCAAAATAGAGCTTGGGCATTAGATTTTAATTGCACTGCCATTTCTCACCCCAGGAAATGTTTATTAACAAAAATTAATTAGCTACATTTTAATGCTTTTAAAGATATAAGAGACTTCTGGTTTGGTTTCCTGATTTTTTTTTTTCTCGACCTATTTTTACTCCTCACCTCTTGCTTAATGCTAATGAATAAATGAGTAGCTAATGGGAAAATTAACATCTTTGAGGGATGTTGAAAAACTCCAATTAAACAAACAAAATTCCATCTTATTTAAATGGAATTAAATTAGTATGTCCATAATGTTGCAACCAACCTTTCGGTTTCAAACTTTTCTAGGAAGAATGATGTTCAGCCAGGAACTGTTGAAATATTACAGAATATTAGAGTGGTTTGGATTGGAAGGGAGCTTAAAATCTTCCAGATCCACCCTGCCATGGGCAGGGACACCTTCCACCATTCCAGGCTGCTCCAAGCCCCATCCAACCCAGCCTTGGACACTCGCAGGGATCCAGGGGCAGCCCCAGCTGCTCTGGGCACCCTGTGCCAGTTTCCCATTTCCTTTTCTCTCCAGGATGCTTTTTGGAGCAGCTGAAAGAGAATTGTGTTTGTAATCAGAGCTGCCTTGTGAATTGAGGTAGAAGCCTGGGTTTTGCTTTGCCTTGGGGAGTTTGTTCTTCTTCAGGGGACTTGGAAAGGTCTTGAGGAGATTTAGGGACCTGCATCCAAGTGGGAAGGGCATGGAACTGGAAGGTTTTTATTCAGGGAAAGGAATTAACCTCGGGGTGACCTCTTATGATGTCATCTATGATGTGCTGTCACTCTGGAATTTAAACTGTCCTGGGCAATGCGCTGGATATTTGAAATGCAGAGGAAGAAGGAAGACAGTTACTAATTTAAAGACCCCAAATATTCTTGGCTGTCTGAAGACAGGTAAAACAAATTAATTCCCAAATTTTTAGGAGGAAAGGCAGATGAATTTGCTAGATGTTACATTTTATATTGGTCCTATATAAGTGATATAAGTGGCACCTGTCACATCTACACTGCTCTAGATAGAACTTGTTCGCTTTACCCTGTACTCCTTCAAAATGTCAGAGCAGAAATCACTTTTGTCACACTTGCTCTTTTTAGATGTGTGGTATTTCAATTTCCTCTTGTTTTAAACTGGGCTGGCTCCTTCTCACTCAGCAAAGATGAAAATAGAGGCTTGAACAGAAGGCTTTCAAAATGATACGTAGATGTCAGTGCCTGCTTCTATATAAAAAGTCATACATGAGCATTCACCCCTGTAAACTTCCATTTAGCAATTAGCTAAGTATTTTATCTTTCATAATTTCCTCTACTA